ACTACATAAAACTAATCTTACTTTTTGAGAAACTCCTGCTCAGTCTTCAAGGCACAGTTTGACTGCAAAGCCACTTCAGAACATCCCTCTGCCATGTCAGGAGGGAACTGAAGCCACAGCAGTGTCAGGGCCTTTCTGGGTGTTACTGCTTGCAGACGAGGATTTTCCCACTGAAGGGATCAGCTCCCTTGATCATCTCAGCATCTGGGTGAGACATCTCAGTTCTGCTGCTCACTCCAGGGAGCTGGCACGTGGGTGATGGGACCAACCCTGAGCTTCTGGGTGCCTGCAAGTGCCTGTCTCACATGGGGTGCACAAAGCTTGGATGGTGTCAGAAACTACTGTGTTGCTGCCTTTGTGGCTCCCCCCACCCCAGACTGAATTTAGGTCTGAAATAATTTGCTTTAAAATTGTCAAATGTGTTGTTCTGTAGAGAGCTCTTTTTGCTAATTGGGTTGATCTGTGTGACAAGAACCTGCTCTTTATTTGTAACACCTTCGTGACCCATTGCTGAATAGGAAACTGTGTGTTGGAGACCAAAGAAACATATTGTGAAATAAGCCAGAGGACTTCACTCCTTATGTTTAGTGTCACTCAGCTAACAAATAAGCCTATTTACATTTTTTTAGAGGTTTCTTGGCATTGATTTGTAGGAGGTAAGTGCAGGAATTCTTGAATTGAAATGTAGCACCTGCACAGAGGACATCAGGCTTTGCTTTGGTAGCTGTGCAGGTACGAGACCACAGAGACTGCACTGGCATTGCTCTGGCACTGCCTTAAAACTCAGTTTTCTTCAGTGCAAGACAGTGCTCAGGGGCTCGGCCTTCTTCCCTCCACAGCCATGCTCTGAACACACCCAGGGAGATGGCTCACTGCTTTGGGCATTCCGAAACCTGCTCTTGCTTGGCTTCAAGAGCAGTTACTATTTTATAGTAACACTTCACAGATTTTCAAAAAAAGGGAGCTTTGGAATTGTTTCAGCTGAGCCATAACCCCAGTCTAGTTAACAGGCCTTTCCCTGCCTGTGATTAATCTTGGCAAACGCCGGGCTCTGCTGCTGCAGAACAGGTCGAACAACCCGGGGAGCTGCAGGAGCCACAACCGGTTCTGCCTCCACATGTTCCAGCACACAGACCCGCCCCGGGCCGGGGGCAGCACTGGCTCAGTAACCAGCTCCTGCGTTCTGCCTGCCCGAGATGGGGATGTGTTTCGGTCTGGGATGGTGCACCCTCTCCCATTTTCCTTCATAATCAGGCCCACGAACTTGGTGGATATAAATTTCATCCTTCCTTCCAGAAGTCTTTCTGTAATTATGCTAATTTTTATCCACTTCAGCAAAAAGTGAATTAGAAGGTTTTTTCTAAATTAAAAGGGGGGGGGAATAAACCGTTACCAAAAAAGGCAAAGTGATATTTAATAACATTTTAAATGTATTAGTGGGGTGAAAATAAAAGTTATGGCAAAATTTTTTTTACAGTATTATGATATTTTATGCTGTCACTATCACGTTTTCCCAGATGCCTTCTCCCTTGGTGCAAACAAGACTTGAGTAGAGTGGCACCAAAATAACAGAAAGGGTGTTATGCTGAGCAAGTTTGTTATAAAGGCCTCAGCACTTCTGAACTGATACATGTAAATGGGTTCAGCAGATTGCTTCAGCTCGGTGGGGTTGGGCACATCTGGACTTACCTGCCACGAGTTACACTGCTGCAGCTACAGGGTGCAGTTAAAGGGGCAGAGCTCCCAGTGCTCGTGGGGGCTAGAGCAGACCCCTTCCCATAGTGGCACAGTGAGAAAATGGGAATAAGGTTTCTTGGTGCTGTAACACCCGTTCTTGTAGTGACAGGCACTGTATTCTGTCACAGACTGTAGTTAAAAACAATGTGTCAAGAGGAAAACCTTAACTTTTATAGGTCGAAGCTGAAATTTTCTTATGTAGATGTATTTATTTCTTTAGGAAGGGAGAACTGTGCAAGTCCCCTGGGTGTGGGTGTTCTGTGCCTTGCAGCAGAGGGGGGAGACTGAGGCCCTTTGCTGTCACTGCACCTCGGGGCAAAGTGTGTTTGCTCCTCGGAGCTGTTCTGGCTCAGAGTCATAAACTGGTGTTGGGTTGGACACCGTGAGCCTCTGGCTGGTACCACCCTCTGTCTTACACTGCTGTCCTGACTGGTGTTGCTGGTACTGCTCCTTTTCTTATCTCGTTGCTGTTTCCAGTAAATTGTTATCCCAACCTGGGAGAGCCTTTTGTCTCTCACCTGGGGGGGGAGAGCGTGGGGCTTAATTTCCAACTGGGTTTAAGCCATGACATCAGCAAACAAAGCTAGAGCAGAGGCTGCTGAGCCAGAAATGTCATTTTGCAAATAAATGACTTTTCATAACTCTGTGGTTTGGTTTTAAACAAGAAGGAAGTGGAATCAGAGCTCTCAGGAGTAACAGGTGGAGAAGTCCCTGTCCAGAAAGAGTATTACTCCCACTCAAAAGAGATCTAAGAAATCCTCTTCACCAAAATCTGAACCAAATCTGAGAGATGTGGAGTTCTGACTGTTAGAGGAGGACCCCACACTGGCCTGGCAAACCAACTTCAGGACAACAGGGCCACACAGTCCCAGTTCACAGAGCAGACAGCCGGGGAGACCAGCTCTGGCCTTTCAACCAGAAGAGGTGCACTGTTAACAAAGCAGATGCTTTCAGATCATCATCTTCCTTGTAGTTTTTGATGTTCTGTTCCTCCCCCTCCCTTTTAATTGCAGCACATTTTCAGTCTTAAATTTCTTCTTTTTTTTCTTTTTTGTTAAATCAGACATTCAGACAAAACTGTAATGAGTTTCTGATTGTTTCCATGGAGCAGGAACCTGAGTGCAAGACAGGAACAGAGACTGTTGCACTGATTTTCTGTGTGAGGTGAGCAACTCTGCACTTGAGGGAAATGGAAAAGGAAAAGGAAAAATGAGGCCAGCACTAGAAGCAAAAGGTTTTTATTAGCTTCTGGTACTTCAACCCTACCAACTTAAGCTGCAGCTAGAATGAAAAAAACATATCTTTGTAAAAAGACTATCATAATCCAAACCAATCTTTAAGTTTTCCACATGTATTAAAAGTTTAAATTCAAAAAGAACTTTTCAAGGTTTCATTTTCTAACGGCATCTTCATAGAGATAACATCCAAGTTTTTTCCTAAGTACAGAGCAAACAAGCATCCTACAAAATAATCTATGGAAAAAGGTAGTGTAAGAGGGAAATTAAGACAATGTGGTAATCTACTCACGAGACACACAGGTTAACTGTAAAACAACCATACCATCAATGAAATATTTAGAAATGAAAATAAATTAAAGTTACATCGAAGTTCCTGCTTTACTTTGTTTAAATCCTCAGTATAGCACATACCACTGCATTATGGATCATAGCAAAGACTTAGCAGTAGCAATAAAAAAGTTGCTATAGAAAAACCTTTATGAAAATAAAACAAGACTGAAGATATTCCTTCACACAGCTGTATGATGGCTGTAGAAATTCCACTGAATCAGTCATACTAGGGCCATTTAGGTCTAAATCACGGTGAATTTCTGTAAGATTAAGCAGTGATCCATACATTCTGGCTGAACAGATGCTGCTTGGCCAGGCTGCACATTTTGTTCTCCCCGAAACCTCCACCCCAGCAAGAATGAAATTTTGCAGGGTGCAGTTTTTTTGGTAGCATTTTGACATTTTCTGAAAACAAACTCTTGCTCTCCTAAGGCCCCAGTCACTATGTGAACAGTGTGAACACAAGCTTAACTAAAAGGCTTTGTCAGTGTGCTGCTTTGCCTCTTGCATGTGATGCTTTGGACTCAGGAGCGTTTGGAAGCCAACTGCCTGTACATATCATAGTATATTGTTATTTCTCTAGAAAACATCAGTAAGCATCCCAGCTCACTACTACTACACCCTCCCCACTAACTGGGCAGGAAGGACCCACATGGTGCCTTATAGGACTTGCTCTACAGATTTAAAGTAGTCCACCACATGGGAAAGCAAACACCCTCCACGGCCTTTGCACTTTGCAGTATGTCATGGAGAAAACTAAGTGCTTAAATACTCTAACAGGTATTTAAAGGACATTTTATCCAATGATGAGTTTCTGATACTACAGTGAGCCATCCTGCTGGATTCTCCCATTATGCAAACTTTTAAGATGGTAAGCAAACATTTCTGTGAAAATGTTATCTCCTTAATACGACGCCCCTTGTTGGCTACGAATTCAGACCTGCGTAAATCCTTGAGGAGAAAAATATTTTAAAGCAAATACCCTAACCAGTTTCTGGTTTAATTGTTACAAATCTTCAGTGTTAAATCTAAAAGAAGAAAAATCTCCACAAAACAATGGTTAAAGGAACAGTTTTTGCTTGGTTGCTGCACCTCAGGAGTTCGTTTCCCAAGGTTGCCGTGTCTACTGTCCACTGCTCTCCGGGTTTGTTGTGGTGGTTTCAGTGCCAACAGGTTGCACATTGTCTGCAAAATTGTGTGCGTGCTCGAGGAACAAGTCTTTCAGTACACTCAGCTCCTTGGTCAGGAGCTTAATTTTTGCCTCTAAACGTTCATTTTCTTCTTTGAGCTGGTTGACCCTCTGCAGTGTGTCTTGTGCTTTCTGCTTGCTTTTTAACCGGCTCTTTTTCACTGCCATGTTGTTTCGCTCTCTGCGCTGACGATACTCATCACTGTTTCTATCCACAAAGGAATTTTTCTTTCCCTGTTTGCTGGGAGGCACAGCTTTGCCTCCACCACCAGGACTAACTGGCACCAGCTGGGGAACCTGCTGCAGACCACTGGTGTGTGCTGGGGTGTGAATCACACTTACGCCGTTCGCATCTGTAGTGGTGTTCTGTTGGGATGTCTTGCTCATTTGGACAGGCTGTTCTTGGACACAACAGGATTTATTAGGAGACTGAAAACTCTCGTGTTTCTTGAAGGTATTTCCAACAGATCTTCACATGGATTAAAGGCAAGATGAACCTAGTATGGAAAAACAAATGCTATTAAAGGTGCTGGCTTCAGCTACTATCTTGTACCATCGGTACCTCATGCTAAAGCCAGTGATGTGTATCTGGCACTGACACATCACAACAGTGCTGGAAGTGGACAAGCTGCCAACTACATTTCTGAAGCCTCTCAAACGTATTTGGATTGGAAGAGACTATTACTGGGTCATCTAGTCAAGCTGTTTGAATTGTTCTCTGTTATTCCAAAGCCATCCCTGATGGATGGGTGTCTAGCCTAGCCTCAAATATCTCGTTTCACAACCTCTGTCTTGGCAACATGTTCCACTGTCTAACTTTTCCTCCAGTTATATAATTTTCTTAGTTTTCAGACTGGAGTTTTCCTTCTGTGGCTTAAACCTATTAACAGCCTGACTCTTGACCAACAGGAGTAGTTGATCCTTGTCCTCTTCGGACCGTTCCTCTGGACATATCCCCACCCAAAGTCCTCCTTGGTCTCTGTTCTCTGGAGCGAGGGTGCTCGGCCTGTCCACCTTTCCTGAACTGTCTTACAGCACTTGCTTTTGAAGATGATGTTCAAACTGATGACTGTTTAAGGTCTACTAGTATTGAGTGGAAAAATAAATCCATGGAAAAAGGTAGTGTGTTGCAAAGCCTGGCTCTGGGTGACATTCAACCACAAGCAAAGGTAAGCCTGTAACTGTGTATCGAGCAGGTGGGACAGGAACACGGAGTGATGGCAATGTGAGAATCACCACACAAAGACAGGGCACTGTCGCCACCCATGAAAAGACAGCAGCCATAGCTGACTCGTCCACCAAATATGGTTTCCTGCTGTAGCCTGTGCACTGGTCATTGTCCACTCTCCAGCAGACAAACTGGCTGGATGAGCAAGACATCCTCTCACCTGACTCACGTCCTTCCACTGCTGTGTCAGCCTGCTCCCGGCCCTACTGGTGGCACAAGGAGGACTCCACCAGAGCTGCTGCAGGGACATGGCCCTGGCAAGGCTAGCAGCCTGTCCCCTTCTCTTCCCATCTCACAGGATGACTTCTTCAAGGACTGGGAGAGAAGAGGGAAGGGTGACAGGATGGTCCTAAGCTCCTGAAACACCTGCCTGTGGCTCCAGTGAAAAGTACTCGGTGACCAGTCAAACAGGGTTAAACAAACAGGTTAAAATTCGACTCTGTACTTTAACTGTGTATTTTCTTCCATGATGAAGGAGCCAGAATGAGATGCACCTCCAGAATGTGGTTCAGTAACATTCATGGAAAAGCCCTGTAAGATTGGCTTAAATGTTACTCAAAATTAACATTCTCTGTCACCCAGAAGTCTTCTCACTTGTTAAGTGAAGATGTATGAGTACACCCACGCCCCTCCTGTCAAGAAATCTTTTCATTTTCCTATTGCAGGGCAGAAAGAGCCCATCAACTCCCTCTGACATCTGTATAGCTGAATCTAGATACGTATCACCCAATACCTTTGAATTTAGTATTGTCCCGATTTCAACTCTTTAAGCAACTTCTACAAACCCCATTTCAGTCTCAGACTCTGACTGAATAAGCACTTTGGTTCAGCAGTTGAACTGAATGCACAGCTAACAAGATGTTACTGTGCACAAACACCAGACTGGCAGGGCCAGTTGTAGCAGCTGTGCACGTGTAATTGCACAGACGTTTTTAGTCAAGCTGTATCCTCCTCCTGTCTGCACTTTATTTTAAAACACTGAATTTCTGCTACCCTCAAACAGTATGCAGCTCTCTTAGGTTCCCTCTGACTAGATTTTTGGCACCTTTTCAAAGTCAGACAGAATGCCCTCCTGTCCCCTCTGTTTCAACACATTACAGTGCTTGCTAAGTTCACCTGGACAGTCCAGTTAAGTAACCCACACCATTTTCATGATCTGCTTTTTGTGTTTCATGAGATACTACGGAGGAAGGGGTGACTCTTGCCCCCAAGGGCACCTCACCTGACATGTAACAAGTTTCTTCACATCACCAGGTTCCATGTGCTACTTCTCTGTATGCTATTGAAACTATTTAATATTGCTTTAATATCCCCTGCTGATCTCTATCAAACTTCCCTATGATTCAATGGACAAATTATTTGTTCCATTAAACCAAATTTTTATGGAGTGTTTTAGCTGGGCAGTACATGGATACAAGCACACAAGATAAATCAGTGTCACACCTCTCAAGCAAGCATTCTAGCCCTGCTAGAACAGATCTCCCTCAATTCTTTCCCACTGCAACTGATCTGTTTTGTATTAAATAACTATTTCTTGAGTGAGATGTGCTATTTTCTGGCATGATCACCTGGGAGGGATGACACCTGGATTCCTGTCCTGCTCCAATGAAAGCAGGTAGCACTAACTGTACTGCATCACAGATTCACAGCAGTGCTAATAGTTGAGGCTTGAAACTAGTTTTTCCCCCTAATTATTTGGACGCTGGATGCCTATTACCAGTTGTCAGGATGATACCCTGGACAGTGACAGGTGCTATGGGGCATCCTTCAGCAAACACTGCGAGGAGATTTCAAGGCAGCAGGTATGAGATGTACAGAGGGGACTCTCAAGAAGGGTGAGGTAAAGGACGTGGTAATTGGGAGAGGCCAAGAAGGTGGGGAGGCAGATAGGTCTCTAATTTCTTGGACCCCGTGTGACACAAAGGCAGCTGCTCCACTCCTCCCCACACAGGTTGGTGTCCTGTGAGTGGGTGACAGCCCCAGTATAGCAGGAGGTGAGTGGGTGACAGCCCAGCACAGCAGGAGGAGGTGAGTGGGTGACAGCCCCAGCACAGCAGGAGGCAGCTCCTTGGAGAGCCAGCCCAGTTTCCAAGCATCTTGTTCCCATAAAGCTGCTCATTAGCTCCAGCTCAGCAACAGCCCTAGGCTGGTTCCACCCAGCACATGGTAGTGTTTCCAGTGGCCAGTTAGAACTGCCTGGTTCTCTCCTTGGGCCACCAACTGGCCACCCAGGACACTAGCTGGCCACCCACTACAGCATAATAGCTGGTAACTCAGAGGTGTCTCCTCAGACAGAAAGATGTTTCTTACTGTCTGACAGAGCTCCTCAGGGACCACAGACTCCCCAGCAAATGAAGGCCTTTAATATCTTTGCTTTCACACACAAAAAAAATAAATGAAACTTCCAAATGTTTGTTTTGGCCAAAAAAAACCCAAAAGAAGTGTTCTGTTAATTAAATCAGTTTGGGTTTTTTCACTTGGCAGCAAGAAATACTAAGTGCTTCTCTCTGCTCCTTTTCTGCAATGGGACTGTGCTGATTCTGATCATTAGTCAGGATGACTATTGCACGGATTCACTTAGAGCTGTCTTGTCTAATGCAAAATCGGTCCCAACCTGAACAGCAATAGGTACCCTCCCTTCTCTTCAGCAGGAATATCCTAGTGGGAGCTGACTCTAAATTCCACTAACCCTGTACAGAGGACATTGCACAAAGCTCCAGGCACACATTTGCTGAGCAGTGGGAGGGCCCACTCCTGTGTGGTTCACTCTCCCGGGCATGTTTGCTGGAGATGATGCTCACCCTCCTGTACTGAGGGCTGGGCAACAACTTTTTGGAGTCTAGGTAGCCCAAACCCACCATCTCTTGCTATAGTTGACAACATCCTGCCTTTACCTCAGAATCTGCATTTTTAATAGACACGTTCCAAGAAAAATGCACTCCCAACATCCTTAACAGACCGTGCTCGGAACACCTGAAACATGTATTTCAATGTGACCAGAATCACAACCCACCCCAGCCGAGGAGGGATTGAAAGACTCTGTCATTCGAATTAAAACGACACAGCGATCTCTAACGACGAACCAATTCCTTGAATCAGAAAGTTCTGCACACTGTCGGTGTTTACACCTCCCGGGGCGGCCGTGCCCGGCGCTGTCACCGAGCCGCGCCTGCCGTTCCTACCGCACGTCGACGGTCTGTTTGGAAACTCGCGGCCGGGGCTGTAAAAAACCCGCCGGGTTCCGCGGGGAACCCCAAACATCCGTCAAGACCCCGCACCCCGCGCTGGGCGCCCCCCAGGCCCGACCGGGCGCGCCCCCGCCGGTGCCCCCCGGGCACGCCCCCGGATCCGACCCGGGACCCCCCGCCCGGCCCGGCCCGGCCCTCCCCGGCGGCGCTGCCGCCGCCCCGCCCGCCCCGCCGGGGCCGCGCCGCTGCTCCTCCCCCGCCCGCGCGGGGCTGCCCGGCGGGGCTGCCAAGCCGTGACTTCACCGGGGGAGGGGACGGGCCGGGCCGGGCGGGGAGGGGAGCGGGGCCGGCCGGCGGCTCGCGAGGCGCGGTGCGGAGCGGGGCCCGGCGGCGCGCGGGCCGTGAGGGGGGTGTGCGAGGGGGTGTGTGAGGGGGTGTGTGAGGGGCCCGGGGGCGGCCCCGCGTCCCCCCCGCTCTTACCTGGGCCGCGAGCGGCGGGAAGGGCCGGGCCGGGCCGCGCTCGGTCCGTGCGCGAGCGGCGATTGCGACACCGCGCGCGCCCCGCCCCGCCCCGCCCCGCAGGGTGATGCAACCGCCGCTGCCATTGGCCGCCAGCACGGCCAATCAGGGGCGGGGCCGCGCGCGGGGGCCGAGGGGGGCACCGAGCCCGGCCCGGGCTGGGCCGAGCTAAAGTGGGCTGTGCTGAGCTAAAGTGGGCTGTGCTGAGCCGGGCCGAGCCGAGCTAAACTGGGCTGTGCTGAGCCGGGCCGAGCCGAGCTAAAGTGGGCTGTGCTGAGCCGGGCCGAGCTAAAGTGGGCTGTGCTGAGCTAAACTGGGCTGTGCTGAGCTAAAGTGAGCTGTGCTGAGCCGGGCCGAGCCGAGCTAAAGTGGGCTGTGCTGAGCCGGGCCGAGCCGAGCTAAAGTGGGCTGTGCTGAGCCGGGCCGAGCTAAACTGGGCTGTGCCGAGCCGGGCCGAGCTAAACTGGGCTGTGCCGAGCCGGGCCGAGCCGAGCTAAACTGGGCTGTGCTGAGCCGGGCCGAGCCGAGCTAAACTGGGCTGTGCTGAGCTAAACTGGGCTGTGCTGAGCCGGGCCAAGCCGAGCTAAACTGGGCTGTGCTGAGCTAAAGTGGGCTGTGCTGAGCCGGGCCGAGCCGAGCTAAAGTGGGCTGTGCTGAGCCGGGCTGAGCCGAGCTAAACTGGGCTGTGCTGAGCTAAACTGGGCTGTGCCGAGCCGGGCCGAGCTAAACTGGGCTGTGCTGAGCCGAACCAAGCTAAACTGGGCTGTGCCGAGCTGAGCCGGGCCGAGCTAAACTGGGCTGTGCCGGCCCGAGCTGAGCTAAACTGGACTGTGCCGAGCTGAGCCAAACTGGACTGTGCCGAGCTGAGCCAAACTGGACTGTGCCGAGCTGAGCCGGGCCGAGCTAAACTGGGCTGAGCCGGGCCGAGCTAAACTGGGCTGTGCCGGCCCGAGCTGAGCTAAACTGGACTGTGCCGAGCTGAGCTAAACTGGACTGTGCCGAGCTGAGCCAAACTGGACTGTGCCGAGCTGAGCCAAACTGGACTGTGCCGAGCTGAGCCGGGCCAAGCCGAGCTGAGCTAGGCCGGGCTGTGATGAGCTGAGCTGAGCTGGGCCATGCCGTGCCGTCCTGTCCTGTGCTGAGCTGGACCGCGCCGAGCTGGGCTCTGCTGAGCTGAGCTGGGCCGGGCCGAGCTGAGCCGAGCTGAGCTGTGCCGGGGCCCGGGCGGTGCCAAGGCCCCGCTGTGGGGTCGGTGCCCCCGCGGTGGAGCAGGACACCCTGGCGTCCATCCCCCCCGTTCGGCCGAGCCCGACGAGTCCGCCCCGGGAGCTCGTCCCAGGCCCCGGTGTCCCCGCGGGAGGCACAGCCCGGCCTCGGTGTCCCGGGGCCGGGCCCCACGGGGAGTGCCCGGCACGGAATGGGCCGGTGCCCACGGGCATCGAAGTAGGTGGTGTTGTGTTGCTGCGCTGATTGGCATCTCCTAATTGCTCCCGGGCTGTTAATTAGCACCTGGTGGTGTATTCCCATCTCGATCTGGCTGCCGTGTGGTCTGCCCCTCTGAGATGTGAGATACAGAGGAAGCAATACCAGAGACACCAAATAAAATTCAACAGCTCTCTTGACAACAGAAATCATGGCAAATTTCTAAATTTCATAGATTGTTGGTTAATTTTCCTTTTCAAACTTACTATTACCCCTCTAAATGCTGGCAGATTCGGAGACATCTGGATCATAGACCTAAATATCATAAGATCATGCACCATTTCACTGGTATGTTTGCTATTATAAAATACATCACCTTTTGTGGAGAAGAATTCTTTCTGCCCTTAGTATTTTCCAGACACTTCGGTTTACATCATCTTAGTTCTGCCTAAACAAGCAAATGCAGTATAAATACACACACACACACACACACACACATGCTCAAGTCTCAAGCTGCTGCGTGTGCAGGGTGTGTTTGCAGCTCCCTGAATGGGAAATGCTCACTTCAGTACACAGGTGTGTGTATTTGCAGTGGGCAGGTCTGAAAACCGTGGCTTTATAAGGTGGGCTTTGAATAAGTTTTGAATAAGTCTAGCTGTGCAGACAGTGAAAACAATACTGTTGGAAAAGTGGGGGGTTTTAACGCAGAGAGGGAAATTACCAATTCGTGGTACTCCAGTTTAGGGCATAGAACTGCTGGGGAAATGTTTTCTGTCTGCAAAAGGCCTGAGGAGAATTAGATTTGTAAACACAGTTACAGAGCTCAGTAATATAGATATAATTATTTCTATTTGCCATTTTTATGGCTGGCCGATGTTGTGGAGGGGTTTTGGTTTTGTTTTGTAAAGCCCTGTGGAAAATAAACCACATTTGCAGAAGAATTCTGAGGGTTAGTCTGGACAAACAGTTTTACTCAGCTCATTTACCATGAAGATACTTTTCCTGGTCAGTCATCAAGCATTTGCTTTAACTTCTCTAAAGTGGGTTTTTTTTTTTCTGTTTCTCAGTTGAAACTGTTACATTTTCTGTGACAGTGACTCATCCATCTATAGCTAGAGTGAAATTCCAGGTAAGCATTAAACATTATCCTTTGCACACAATAGTTAAGTAAGTGTGTGCTCTTAGCATGCTTTCCTAGGATTTTAGAGCACTTTGTGACCATTCATTCATTAATCCTCATCCAAGATAGCTCAAGAAAATAAAATGCAGACAAACTTATTCTCATAGAGTGTGATTATTTTAAGCATTAAAGCTCACACATAATTCCCTGCGTGTAAGACCTTTCCAGTGCCTGGCTGGCATTGTGTGCTGTTACCAGGAACCATCACACAGTGTACTTCAGTGTTTGTAGGATTTCTTTGGGGTTTTTTTTCCCCCCCACAGTGTTACAGTAAAAATAGAATATGATGGAAGTGGTCTAAAAAGTTAGCACAGAAATATATGGACAACTGGGATGTGGCATTGAAATACACCCTTTGCCTGCTCACATACAAGTTGTGTGAGAGGAGCAGTAGCTCTGGGGTCGGGTGTCAGGAGCAGGCTGGTCCCTGCTGGGATGGAGTCCTTCTCACTCTGATTCTGCACGTGTTCCTGTAGCAACAGTCCACCTATTTGACTGTAGATAACATTGTAATAGTATCTTATTTTCATGCACATAGCCCAGTCTTTAAAGACTTTAGTCTTGGGAAAAAATTACACCAATATTCAGCATCTTCAAGTACTCTACAGCAACTCCCAGTCAGGGGCAGAAAGGCAATTGAGGAAATAGAAACTGTGGGAATGGAGTCAGAAGGTATAAACGGGAGACAAGCCTGTTTGGGCAAATGTCCTTGTTTATTGCCCACTCAGTATGTTCCCTTAACACTTGGGAAAACATTAAGAAGTTCTCTTCAGCCTTCCACTTAGGGAGTGAAAACTTAGTTTGTTGCCATGCAATGATTTCTGTTGTGTCTGATTTACAGGTGTTACAGGTGTTACCTTTGTCTTCATGAGCAATTATTTCTTTGTCCTAAAATAAAAACCCTACAGACTCTCTAGACTACAAGCCTCCACATTTAAAAATATGTTCTTCTGTAAGCATTTGGTTCTTTGCCTCTATTTCCCTCATGGATAAGCCTTCACTGGATTTTTTTACTTCAGACTTGCACATTTCAGTTAAAAGTTCACTTTTCACACATGATGCTGCTGTGTAGTTTTTCACTCTGATCCAACATCCATGCCTTTGAATTCTAGAGAAGCAATCAGTCATGTCTCTCTGGTGATTTAGCAGAGAGGAAAATAAATATATTTATGTATATATTTATATATATATTTGTATATTTGACTGTTGGAAATAAATAGGCCCCTTAGGTAAAAACACATAATTCCAGGCTCTGATGAGCACTGGAATGTATTTAAGGGCAAATGCACTGAATTATACCAAAATATACCTTTTCTTGGTAACTCAACCCTGTTCTCTCAACCTCGATTTGTTCAAAACTGGATAGAAAGCCTCTCTCAATATGATTACATTCTTTATGCTCACCAAGCAGATGGCATTCATTCAGGAATATCCCAGAAATGCAAAGTCTGTAATAGAGGTTTTCCATAATCTTATTATTGCAAACCTCCCTTCTCTTAACAGCCCTTGCATTTTGGTATTACAATAATTACTTTTTGTGTTCAGGACTGACTTGCACCAAGACCCAAATCCATTGTTAGAAATCTAAATTTTGCAGAGCTGAGGCTATTAAAGCTTCAGGAAGCAGAAGGATTGCTGAGATTTATTTCACAGGAATCTAGCTATATTTTAAAAAACAAAATTAAGAAAGAAAAAGCAATATGAATAGCTCTATTTGTTTGAAAACCTTATACTTCTTGAGCCCAGAGTTTTTGGTTTTTTTCAATATGATTTAATAATTTAAATGATAGAAGCTTGTCTATTAATAGATGATTTGTCAGGGGTAGCCTTTTTGACTAGGTGAGGAGAAAGGAGAGGAAACATTGCTTAGTGGTGATCCCTCTTTCAGTATCATACTGCTAATTCTAGCACTGACTCACTACAGCCTTGGAAAGCTACAGTGCTTTTGTTCTAGCAAATACTAAGTAAAGAAAGGAACCAATCTGCTATAATAGCAAACATCCATTTTATTGTCACACTGCCTGGAGTTCATTTGCAGGAAAAATCCAGTGCCTTTGTTCTTGCTCTCTGTGCAGCTAAAAAGCCTTGTAACTAAGTATTTCCAGTTTCTAGTTCTGCATCTTCCAGTACTGCTCCCCTTATTTGCAGTTATAAAAATATTAAAGTTATCTAGATATCTAGAGTTACTCATACTGGTTTCTGGAAATAGATGAACTCAATTACATGGGCAGAATAAAGAGAATGATTCTCAAATGGAGGAGGCCAAAAAACCCCATAATAAACAGCTACTTCCTCCCCCACAAGTTCAGCAGGCTATTGGGTGATAGCAAAGGGAATCAGGCTAACACAGAAGTCTTAGAGTGTCTGAAAAAACTAATATACCAAGGAGAGATATACATCATGTATATACACTAGAAAACTAATGAATTGATGACATATATGCTTTTACTAGATACCCAGGCTGTCACTTTTATAGGTGTTACATGCCATGCTTCTCTCCAGCTACAGCTGTTCCCATTTCCTCTACAGTTTTAAGGGGAGTGGGAGCTTTGGTACTTCACAACTGGTTTCATCAAGGTAGAGGCTGCATTAGTGGTTGCATTAGAGGCTGCCCTGAGACTTGAGTTCTTAATTGCCGTATTTTCATTTCATGCTGTTATCAGGAAGTTAAATTTTTTAATCAGAAACTTTTAGCAAGCACTTTTAGAATCAGCCAGCTGCGTAGGTAAAGGTGTGCCCGTTTTTGCAAGTTCCACTTCTTGGGTGGTGTTCTGGTTAGTAGGCTGGGGTCTTCAGCAGTCACATGGCAGAGCCTTCTCTTTCCTAGCTATAAAATACTTGTTGATGATAAATTTATATTTTAATTAAACTCTTACTCAGCCTTTGCTGTCATGCTGTCAGGAATTTGTGCTTCAAGCCAAACCAGCTCGGGTTCTCCAATGCCAGTGTTTCCATTTCACCAGATGACACTGATCTGAGAAGTGTACCATTACAGCAATGGCTTCTTGAGGAATTTGGAGGTACAGGGACATCTCATTACCCTCAGTAATCCTCTGTTGCCTTGTGACAATTCTTCTCTGCACATAAAAATACTGTCACAAAAGCATGTGCTATTTCATAATTTAACATATATCATCCTGTCTCTTCACTGTATTCCAGAGGAATGCTAAGAAGATGACCAACAGATTTGGGGTATATAAACATGACCAGATATACATTAGTGTTCAGTAGCCACAAATCCTTTTGAAGTGAGTGAAGCAGCTGAGGTTACTATCTGTGACCTTCTATAGAAATATCAGAACATGGAATTAGAAGCTTTCTTGTAGGTATATGAGTTTGAAAATATCAAGTATGTCCCTGAAGAATGCCTGGTCTGGGAGGAGGCTCTACATGTGTCACCTCAAGGTGTTCAGATTTCTAGAAGATCATCTAGCAAAAAGAATGAGCACTATGTTCCTTTACAGGATTTTATGAACATGTGTTTGTGTTTGAGTGTTCTCTGGCTTTGCTCTGATGCCTAGTGATCCAATTAAAATTAGTATAGCCTTTGTTATGAATTTCGCTGGGCTTGGCTTGAGTTTTACCCGAGTTTGTTCAGAAATTGTACTGAACAATGCAAACTGCAAGTCTTCTGGTATCTACGGAACGTGACAGGGATTTGTAGGCTGCCACCGATCATTTCTGGGGTTTGCTGCCATGTGTGTGTAAAATGTTAGGTAAGATGAGGCTGCATAGCTAAAGATGAGTAAAAACAAAGTAGATAAATGGATTGAAAGTAAAATGCTATTTATTGTGTCAGTATACGTGCACATATAAAATCTGGTTCAAAAGAGACTT